AACTTGCTCTGCCGCCGCCTTCGCTGTCTCCAGAGGTTCAACCTTATTTTCAGTCTGAGCAGATGCAAATGAATCAAAACGTGTAAACAAAAAACAATTTCACAATTTAAAACACGGTGATGTGATATAATCAGAAAATCAAACATTATTCTACATCCTAGAAAAAACAAAGTCTGAACTCTCCTTTGATTTACTTTGACTTCTACAACTGGCTGTGAAACTTCCACTGACGTGGCCTGTAGAGTACAAACCGCTTTACACATGCAAATTAAGATGAGCATGTTTGATACTGTACAGCATGTCGGTTATATAACACAGTTATATGGTTTGTCTTTACTCAAGTGAGAATTCAGTTCAAAGCAATACCTGCTGTGCTAGTTAGGGGTTTAACATCCTGTACAAACTGATTCACACTCACATCAGAATACATGAATATACTGCAACATTCCCTGAGTACAACTGAGAAGACTGAGTGTAGTCCAGTTTACCTGTACTGATACATTTGGGTCTACTTCTATTGCAGGCTCCTTGTTTGTCTGCAGGACAGTGAAGGGATTCTTATTGTTAGTAAAAGCCAACAAGACAGAAAGGAAATGTCCTCAGAACCTCAAAAGCACATAAAATATCTAAATCATAAAAAGCTTTTATGGTATGTTAGCACCAAACGCTGACTGACATGCACTGGTTAAAGTCAAAGCTGAACATTTTTAACACTTTCGTGTCAAGAGTTAAATGAGAAGATTGATACCTACCAGGTGCTGATGGGTAATTTCTAAAATCTGGACAAACCCAAGATGGTTATTTCCGCCTGCTTCCAGTCTTTTTGCTAAGCTATGCTGATCAGGTCCTGGCTCCAGCTCCATATGGAGCACATCAACACGAGAGTGGTATCAATTTTCTCAGCCACTTCTTGGCAAAATGTCAAGCTTTTTTTTTTTTTAAATTAAATGAATCAATAATGTAATGTTAATGTTGGACATGGAAAAAAAAAATGAAATACAGACTGTGGTAGAAATTGTGGTGCTATTTTTAGGCTTAAATGAAATCTGTGAAATCTGATCTAAGCCTGTTATTCCTTGTTTAACTGCGGTGTCACATTTTTGAGAAAGAAAACCTGATTCTCTTGAATAAGGTTCAAAACATGACACTGCCTTGCACAATTGGGAAACATCTAATTGTTGAGTTTCTCCAGCCTCCAGACAAATAAGCTCTTGTTCAGTTAGTAACAGGATGAGCCACGGTCAGTTTGGCCCGTTTCAGACATACGATCTGTTACAGCAACAGCTTTTTCTCATTCACACATAGGTGACTTTAATGTTAATGTTCCTTGCAGTTTCATGCAGACCTGCCCACAACCCTGTCAGGTGTTATCTCGACTTGAACAGAAAAGCGACCAGGGTGCCCATTCAGACATGAAGTCTACATGTCCAGATGCCCTCAGTTTAATAGAGAGGAGTGCATGTCTGAAAGAGGCTTTTGAGAATATCATAGTCTACTGTAGCACTGCTGCTGTCTTGGCTGGGGGATTGCCTCCACGTGCTGAAGCACCCTTGCCTTTGGATGCCTTGACACCTAGCAGTACCTCAAATTCACATATATGTTTCACACTGCATTACACTCATTGAAAGTCTGCAAGTAATAAACATGCCTCAAAGTAATGATCATGTCTTGCATCTTTAGTTAAAGCGCGTTATTTACCTTTGGGCAAAAAAAACTGCCGAAACTAATTTTGGCCGATTTTGGGGGTGCTTTTGGTTCATCTTTTGGTGTGGGCTTCACAGGTGCAGCAGCCAGTTCTCCTTTGATTTCCATTTTCAGCGGCTCCTGAGGCGGCGGTGGTGGGACAGACGGTGGTTCGGATGCTTGTGTAACCTAAGAGGGAGAGAAGAACCCACACAGTTACCTTTAATGGCAACTTTAGCTGAGGTCTGATGTCAGCTATGGTATCAGCAATTACATTTTCTTCCAACTTCAACTATCAGTTAGTAAAAATTAGTGTGTTAAATGTTAAATTAGCAAATAAAGTGACACTTCTGGAAGTGAGCTGAACCCAGCAATGTATGATATATCTACTGTATTCCTTTCTACTATACGGTTTAAATCACTGAATGGGCTATATGCTCACGGTAGCGGGTGCCTCTGGTTGGGTCTCCTTCGGGGGCTATTTGGTAACAGACAAAGGAAGCAGTTAGAGAGATAATGTTAAATTGAAGCGAGCAAAGATCAACAAAAAGTGTGTGTCTGTGTTGGTCCATTAGAAATTAAATGTACATTTTAGGAAGGTTTCAGGTCACAAACAAAACAGAAGTGGATGCCAGCAACTTGCAGCTACATTTTGCAAATTAGTAGCAGCCTCCGTTCAGTAATTAACCCTGGCACTGCTGAAGGCATGGTGATGGAAATAAAAATAAATATAATATGATAAGTAAAAACTCAATCAAATAATCAAAGAACAATTCTGTATAAAGTGCAATGCTTCATGGACATCTGTTCACCTGTTCAGGAGTAGCTGTTTCCTTTTTGGGGGTTTTAATGGGAGTCTTTCCCTGTGCAACAAGGGAAGGAAAACAAATGGTCTTCAATGATATTGTGCATGCCACACAAAAAATCAGAAGAAAAACTAAATGCCTAATGCTCAAAGCTCAGCTGTATAAGTGTCATAGATCATGATATTAGTTTATGTAGCTGACGGTAAAGCTGCAGTGTAATATGATCAGAAACAGAGGATATAGTTGATGCAAGGCAGACAGAAAAATAATTATTTAGATAAAACAGAAGCCTTTCATGAATGCAGACATAGGCCTTTATGATAAGCTAACTGAGGCACACTGAGGTCCAGACAGAGCACATACAATACATGCACTGACATTGTGACAGCTATTGTACTCTGGCGATGGCGTAGGCCTGCCCTCGCTCTATCTAACTTCCAGCCGCACAGGCCTCCCTTGTGAGCTCACACTATGGGCTCAACAATAGGCCACCACATTCCCGCATGTTCAAAGGCTTGATTAGCATGGGGCTAGTGCAATGGTAACTCTGTAAAACAGCATGAATCCAAAAGATGGCATGATGAAGAGGAAACACAATAGCTGCTTGTTGTGGCTTTCCATCAGGCGCTATCATCGTGGCGGATTTTGCTATGGATATCTTTAAAACCCCCTTTTCACATACCTCAACTTAGAATAAGAGGAATTACACAACCAAAACATTCCCAGCTTATTATCACTTATCTCAATTTTATCAGCCAAATGACTACACATCTTGGCTTCAGTGAGAGTTTAAGCAATAATTACACCACATATCAGCTGCCCTTTTGTTGTCGCGTCGCTGTTTGCCTTCAGTCACATTTGGAGATAAGGTTGAGTTTGTTTTTTCATTTTTAATTGTTTGTTAAACTTTCCCAAGCGTTCTAATTTTACATGAGAAGCAATTAGAAATATCAAAAGCATATTCTTGGAATTGTATCACTTACAAATGCTCTGAGGAAGTTCATAACTGGATTCGCCTCTATGGTAGTGTCCTCTGGGGTGTCCTCTGGGGTGTCCTCAGGTTGACTGTTTATGGGTTCAGGAGCGCTCTCTTGCACTGGAGCAGGTTCTGGAATCACACTTTCCAGCTCCTTTAATAGTTCGGACTCTTGCTGTGGGTTAGCTGTCTCCTATACAACATCACAAAGAATTAGACTTAGAGAATTATGTTAGAGCCGCAGAGCTGATGTGCAAGTAGTGAGTGTCTTAATCGCAGCATTGAGATGAGAGCACAATTCCAACCATGCCACTGCCTACTCAGGGCACTGTCAACAATCACCCTTTTATTAACGTGTGTGTCCCACCCCTCACTCATTGATATTCAACAATGTGTGAGAGTTATGCTCTGAGAAATGTCAGGAAACTCAAATACCTTGATGTGTCCTTATGGTGAGTATCTTTAAAATTCGGAACTGATAGGTTATTTTTAGTGAGTCTACTCTGAGGTTATGTTTGTGCGTCAGTATTAGCTTATTTTATATTCCTTTTTACTTTAAACAGTTTGGGCATTAAACTCAATGTTAATTATATACACAATCATGAATAAAGAAGAAGAAAAATCATCTTCAATTTAAGGGTTTTTATTTGTCGTTCTATTGGAAAACATTTCAGTACTTTACAGTGTGAGTTTGTGTTGATGAATGATACAAAGAGAGGCACTTTGCATTATTATAAAACACAAATCATTCGGCAGTCCAGTCGCAATCATTACCACATAGCATAAAACATGACATTCTAATGAGAGAGACTCATATTTTTCAAAACAACATTTTACTGCTACTCTGTTTTTGGAGCTAGATGAATGGTGACAGTAACACTGTTCACTGGTGAAGACGGCTCTAAACCATCACACCTAAATGCCTACTCTTCAGCAACTGGTGTACAGGCTGACGGCGGCCTATCAAGTGACGCTTCCATGCCTGCACGTGTACCTGCAGTCATCTCAGCACTTTGAGAGCATGCTGGTGAGTCTGATGTGTTCACACCTGACCCGTTCCCTGCCTCCTCTTCAGTCTTTACCTCTGCGATGATGTCTGATGCTACCTCCTCTGAGGTTGCAAGGTTACATCCAGCTTCCTCTGTTCAGCTCCTCTGCAGTGCTCTCAAGAACAGCCTCAGCACACTCCCAGAGTGTATCTTTTGTGTATCATCTCTTCTGTATCTTCATCTTCAGCTGTCTCCTAGCACATCCGTTTCTGGTTGTTGCTAATTCTCAACTCTTATCAGCTACAGATAGAGCATCTTTATCTGGATTTTCTAGCAGAGCATCAGCTGGGTCCATGCTCTCCTCCTGGACTGGAGCACTAGGCTCAGGTGCATCTTCAGGTTCCTCAACTATGCTTTCAGTGACTTACAGCTTCTCTCAAATGGCTTCAACAACTGATTCCAGTAAGTTCTCCAACACCTCAGTGGTTGTATCTTCTTCACAAGGGCTTGGATTTTCTTCTGCAGGTTTCTCTACGATTTGTTTGGGTGTTTCAGCACTTGCAGATTGTGCCAAGACATCTTCGAACACTTCTGCAGCCATGTTCTGATTTACAGGTACAGGATCTGGCTCCTCATGGACAAACTCAGAGATTGTTTCCATCAAGGGAGGGAACGCTATTTGCTTTCCTGGCCTCAGGAGGGACAGCATTGGACTTGGGGTCAACGATTTCAATCGGCGCTATTTCATCTGACGTGTCTCCAGCTTCTCCACTGTTGTCTTCAGTAATTACTTCATCTACTCTCGGCCCTGATGTGTTTGCAGCAGCACAGTCTGTGGAAACTGCAGGGAGGACTTTAGGAAAGCTGGTCAAGACCTCCAGTGGAAAGGTTTTCTTGCTCTTAGTTTCCTCTGCAACCATTTCTTCTTCTGTGATGGATTCAATTGGGTTAGAGTCTGTTTCTGTAAGACATAATTGCTGGCTCACGTTCCTCAAGTCCATTAACACTCTTTTCCTCAGGACTGCACTGGCTGATTTCAGCATTATCTGTATCGCCCCCCTGCTCTGCTCTGGGCCCTCTGTTCTCTTGCTCATTGTTCTCCGTGATGACCTCTTCTTTGATGAGAAGCCCAGCTGTCTGATTGTCTGAGGGTCCCTCATTTGCAGTTGATTCAACAATAACAGCAAATTCATTAAGTGAATCTTCTTCAGCTGTCTCCATCATGACTCCCTCTTCCACTGGGCCCTCAGAATTAGCAGCTGTATGGTCATCATCACCTGTTTGTGCTGAAATACCGGTTTCAGTTCTTTTGTCTGTCAGTCTTCAGCTGTGTCCGCGGTGGATTCCTTTATCATGAAAACCTCCATTCACATTTAGATACAGTATAATAAAGTGATTTCTCATTTCTGGGACAGATATAATAACCATGTGCTTCATCACTCTGTGTATACACTGAGCAACCAGAACAAGGAGATCCCTCTACTATTCTATGACTGTTTTAAGGGAAAATATTTCAATGTCATTTAGACTGTGTCACAGTTGTGTTGTCTGAGCTCTGTGAAGGTTTTTTATTTTGTTTTATTAAATTGCATCATACTGTTGTATGAGGTGTTTCTTGTTTTCTGCTCTATAAATTTAAATAAAGTATAATGCTGTCCAACACTGAACAGGGCGTTACATCCTATGGATGTTTGTATTTTTCTGATCTCTCAGTGGTGTAATTATGTTGCAGTTGCAGAAATTATTTAATTCTCTATTTGCAGGATGTTTCTAGAATGGTTTTACAGTATGTGCTGCTAAAAGTGACATAACTGAGAACATCTAAACATCTAAAGTGATTCAGACAGTTTGGCTCAGAGAGCAGAGAAACGTGTTAAAGTGTAGGGCTGGCATTTTTCTTTTCTTCAGTAAATCTGGTGAAAAGTCCTAAACAATTTGTTTGTCTATATCTAAGCATTTAGCAGATTTTCCTAAGGAAAAATAGTTCACTTACAGGCTGCACACTGAAGTTTCTTAGCAAAGGCTACTCAGATGGGAGGAAACTCTAGGGGACAAATAGCATCAGGGACTATTTACATTCACAGATTTGGTTCAAGTGAGTACTTCAGCCAGAAAGACAGTGTACGTGGGATTAGCTCAGTGCCCATAGTCAATAAAAATAATGAGTAGACCACCCATTGTGGTTATGTGGCTTACTGATGTGTTGCTAATACGTTTTGGATGACAATGGAAAGAGGAAGCTTTCACTGCCCAGGTGATACTTATTAGGAATCGATCCAGTTCATTGTTTTGGTCTTTTTGCGGCATTTGTCATCAATGTGAAAACAGAGAATATCACCAGAGTTACCTTTTAACTCTAACCAGTACTTACCGGCTGTGGAGGACTTGCGTCTGTTTGCTCTTCATTTGAAGCCTCTTTTACAGCTTTCTTTTTGAACATTTTGAACGGATTACTTTTTTCTTTTTTATTTTTTTTGACCTCTTCCTTCTGGATGGTGGGTTCAGGGATTTCAGAAATAACTTGGGCCTCGGCAGGTTGACAGTCTGGTTCAACTTTTGCAGAGGGGAGCTTGCCATTTACCTCGACTGTGGGCTTGGCATTAACTGCAAATAAAGAAAAGTCTGTCATCATCACACACCAAATTTTAAAATATAGGAATGGACATAATGGCGCAGTGTTCACTGCTGTCGCTTCACATCAAGAAGGCTCTGGGGTCGAGCCCTAGCCGGCTCAGGGCCTTTCTGTTTGCATGTTCTCCCTGTGCTTACGTGGGTTCTGTCCAGGTGCTCCAGCTTCCTCCCACAGTCCAGAGACATGCAGCTTAGGTTGACTGGAGACTCTAAGTTGCCATGAGTGTTTGTCATTTTTTTTAATTCATACATCAAATAATATACGTTTATGTTTATATTGTCAAAATTTTAACGATTGAGACTTTAGATAAGTTCTGTCATTTGAGGTTCATGCTGCAGTAATTAATCTGATTTAACATGAACACATGTGACACAGCTGTTTTTGCTTTTAGATATCCCTGCTGATTTAGATCTTGAACTTACATATGATATGGACCTGTGCAAAGTTCCATGAAGTAAACATAGGCTAGTCATTTAAAGAAAGTGATATTATCTTTGTCTCGGGCTCCCGCATTAGCTCTTAAACAAACTCGAGTGTCGGTGGGAATCCAGCAGCACTGCAGGGACACACACCACACCATCGCAGGTCAAACTGTTACTACTCTGTCTGAGTCAGAGCCTACGCCTAATTTACATTAGAAGACTCATGACTCAGTCCATCTGGGAGTAACTGTGTTTACAGAGTAATGTCAAAGTCCAAAGTGTTAATCCAACTAGGAATGGAAACATCAGCTGATTCTGCGTCACAGACTGGTATACAATGTTTTCCCACGGGGATAGATCGACTGTAACAGAGTAAAGTAGAATTAAAAACAAGTTGAAACCTATTCCTCTAACACAACTGAACGTTAAATAGTCCAAACTGTTGTCTTGTTGAATTAAATTTATTATTTTATTTTACTTCTTAGGTAGGTGTTGTCTGCTAATTTAATGTTGTGTAAACATCAGTTTTGCTTATTTCATTTCAATGTGTGAATTTATTAAACATTAGATGTATGAGAGTTCAGATGGAGAAAATGAGCCGTGGTTCTTCATTTAACACGATGAACTTGTTCCTGTCGGGGTCTCTTTGTCCCAGAGTCAGTACAAAGACATCATCACCACGTTAGGCTGCTCTCTCTGTGGCTCAGTTCTATTTGTGTATGTGGGTAGGGACTGAATTCAGCACCGACTCTCATCACATTAAGAACGGTTTTCATTCTTCAGACTACACAAAAGCAGAGAATATTGAGAGGTTCAACTCTCAAACACTGCATGCTGGGAAGTTTATGTTGCTAGTTTTTTCTTAATTTAAAGAGTTGAGTGAAATCTAGAAGTCCTTTCAATCAACTTATCATCCCAAGTCAAAATACTTGTTTATGAGTTCATATGTGGTCTGAAAATAAAAAAATAGAAAGTTAATATGGCTTGTAAATATAAAACATAGACATGTTTAACTTAATTTAATGAGAACATATTAGCTGATTCTACAAATTTTCTTTATGATGATTTACAGGGTACAACTGTTTTACTTTCCACTGAACTATTAAATTGATCATATTAGTAAAAAGAAATTTAGAAATCCCACTCACGTTCAATCTCCGGTCCACTAGTTGAACATGTAATGTTTGCAGACAGGCCATTCGCCATTCCGTTTTCATTTTCATGCTTCTCGAGAGTCGTCTCAGTCTATGAAGAAAATAATAAAGAAAAAACACATTTTCTATCTTTTATTTTCTAATACAAAAAGAGTTTTAATTTCAAGAAGACCCCTGGTTTGGATTGTAAATGGACATCAGAACCATTCAGCATGTTGGGAGATTAAAACATTTGTCTAAGAAGAAATGAGTTTTTATGTTAATCTTACCACTTATTTAGAAGCAGCAAAGTAATAAATACTGCAGGTATAGTGTAACAGGTTTGTTGCAGTTGGTATCAGTTTACCTCCGTTTGCTCTGCGTCGATAGAAAGTTCGTTCCCCATATTTGCCCCAAACGAAATGTAAAGATTCAACTGAGGATAATTAAAGAGAAAAACAGAAATATGTTTGACAAGCAAATAAATGTTGCATAAAATGGCTTACTGCTAAGCGACTGTGGAATCTGCAAACTATGTCACATTTTGGTAATATTTTAACTTCATTCAAATATCTTACCTTGTTACACTTCCTCAAGTCAAGCAAGTAATATCCTCCTCAAATAAAAAATATGGAAAGTGTCCGCCACTGTGTCAAAGACTCACTCCCTCCCAACTATGTATAAAAGCTATTGCTAACAGGCTGTTTTATGTGTGCTTTAAAATGGGTGGGGCTATTTTTAAGTAATGTATTTCAGTGAAAAGCCCGCCATCCACCCAGCAGAGTGTTGCAGTCCTTTAGCAAATGCTTCGCATCATATTAATCCCTCTGAGGCTACCCTCTAATCAAGCAGACTGGTGGCACAGGACAGCTTTGTTGACAGTGTGACTGGGAAGTAACAGGATGCACATTAAGGATCTTGATCTGGCATACACCCATACTACTAAAACAAAGATATGCTTTTCCTGTTGCTTTAGTGATTTTAATAAACAATTTATTGTTTTGGTCATTTGGGGTTTTTAACATTCAGAGTTTGCTGATACTAAGGCAGCTGAAAAATTTATCAAACTGATATGTGCCTTAAATAACCTATTGTACTGCTTTGATATTACTTGAAAAAAAACTTTTTTAAGTCACTAGGGCCAAGTATCTGCATTTTAATCACAGTTAATCAAGACAGACAAAGCTCTATGATGTAAGACCTCCACACAGGTCACATCTTTCAGGGCTACTTAGTAAACAGGCCTATGTGAGAGGTGTTCAGGGCTCTAAGTAGCTCATCACATGATGCATTCCTTCTTTAATTATTCTCATCTTTATAGTTTGTTTGCCTCCACTGTGAGTAAACACATTTATAAAGATTGTCTCTCTTTTGCTCTTATTTTTGATTGCACATATTTCCTATTTGAATGCACACATTGTTTATTTTTTTTATTTGTATTTTCATTGTTATTGTGTATTTCCTGTTGCCTTACAAACAGTAAGCCTCTGTACCAGAGCCGAATTCCTTGTGTGTTCAGACATACTTGGCCATTAAAGATGATTCTGATTCTGATCATATTGATAAAAGCTCTTTAACATTTATTTTATTCTATTACCTCAAAGAATCCAAGCTGCTTTATGTAAACCATCCACATCACATTGTAGCATGTTTTTGTTTTACCATGCAGCATCACAAGGAATTCATAAAAACAATGTCCCAATTGTAGCCTATAGCCTGCACATTGAGGTGGGAGTTGGCTTCCCCCTGTTTGGATTGTGCACTTCTGACTTCATGCAAGGCCTGCAGCTGGGAGACCTCAAGCCAACCCTTCATGATGTACCAACGCAGAGCAGCCTACTAGTTTTACTAGAGACACAAGTCTTACAAAAAGGCCATTGAAGGAAAAATGCTGGGGTTTTTTTTTTCAGCTCAGCTCAAGACATCATGATTTTTCATGATGCAGATGGTGTATTGCAAAACATTGGCCTACCCATCTTCATTAGATTCATTGACATCTTCTGCAGCTGGTAGGGTTAATAGTGACTAACTCTGCAGATGTGGCAAATATTTGAATTTGGGCGCAGTACTGTTTGCTGTAGAAATATTTACAGAGCCGCAGTTCCGGTTGATATAATAACTACTCTGACATATTCATGGGAAGTTTGCACATTTCTAAAGAGAACTAATGACAACAGTAAAGCACGCGGACTGTTTTATCGAGTATGTTAAACTGAAAAAAGTCTCTACACTACTTCAGTTGTAAGCTAAGGGCCAAGTTTGTTACCATGTTATATTATCTTGCGGAAACCGCTGTACTTGCTGTGCGCCGCCCCGCCAGATGGCGGTATAGCTAGAGTTGTGTTGAATCTTCGTTGTCTTTGTGCAGTCGAGGAAGTCAAGATGGCAGCCACCGTGAAGGGACCTGTAGTAAGTTGAAATAAAATTAAATTAAAATTACGCTGGGAATGTAAATGAAGACGTGGATAACAGTATGTGGGTAAAACAGTCACGATTACTGGAGCTGGTGATATTAAAAATCCTAGTGAAACCCTCATGTAATTGTTAGTTTTTGTCAATGATAGCAGCTACCCTTGTGCTAGCTAGGTTGCTAACACGCTCTCATAATGACAGCGACGAGAGCGATGGTGATAACTTGCAAAACGAGGGCTGAGATGGTCCACATCGCTGACTAGACCCAACAACTCAAGCTGCCGTCTTGTTTGCTTGCTTGTGTTGGCGCTGGCAGCATCATGCTGTGGGCTAGCCCAGCTGGGGCTACCGTTAGCTGTAGCGGTGCTTCTTGGCAGCAAAGACAGGGATAATTGGCTACAACGAAAACTACCGTAAAACAACACAAAGCGCGCAAAAAGCGAAGGGGATGAATAATCCCAGAAGCCACTATCAGCCATGTAGAGCCATTTTCTTCATTGAGTACGTTTCCTTTTAGTACGTATTTTCCAGAATATACTTAACTGTTCCATACAGTTACTCAAGTTAGTTTATAAATGCAGGACTTTTACTTGGACCTGTCGTTTACGTTGTGGTAATACTTCTAATGGCTGTCAGCAAAAGGCTCTGGACACCAGTGCTCACAATACTGTGCTTAAGTACAGCTAAGGTATTTGTATTTAACAACTAGCGTTGCAGTGTAATGTAAAGACCTAGAATGAATAAATAAAATACCACGAGTACAGTAATATAGCTGAATGCAGAGACACTGATATTTACGGTTTTCCAAAAGCTAGTACGCCTGCCTTTAGTATGAACTACTCGTTAGTCTTGGGACCTAAGTGAAGGTGTGTAAGTATATTGAGAACAGTGAGAATCCACAGTCTGTCACAGCTGTCCTAAGGTTTTTGGGACCAGCTGACTGTATAGACGCTGGTATTTCTAATTCCACGAAGAAGGTACGCCCACTGATGTTAAAGTACTCAGAGGTTAGTTTTGGGAAGAAGTAAAGGGTAAAGGGGTACAAAATATAATGAGAACAGTGAGAATCCACAGTCTGCCACAGCTATATTGAAAGTACCAGGTATCTAATCATGCATGCTGCTACTGGTATTGTCATGTAATTGTTGCTTTTAAGAGATATTTAATGTTTTATCTGATTTACATTCTGTTTGATCAATATACTGTGTGTATTTTAATGTTTTATCCATCTATGTGCATTGTGAACTTTGTATTTCTTCAATTGTTGCACTTTGAATTGCTGTTGCATATGAAAATGTTATATAAATAAACTTGCTTTGCCTAAATTAACCCCCAGCAGTGTATGAAATTGGTAAAATGTGCTCCACTAGACCTTGCTATGTTTTTTGCATGTAACAGTGAGTAATAATAAATTAATAATATAACAGTGTAAAACAGAAAAGGCTATTTTGCCTGCATAATACTTTAACTGTTTATATGCTCTTATTTAAGTGCCATTTTGAATATCCACTTTTTACTTCTAATGGAGTATTTTTACATTGAGGTGTTTGTGCATATACTTAAGTAAACGGTCTGAGTACTTCTTCCATCACCGTTTGTGTCCTCTTGTTGGCAGTCCGTTGAAGATGTGAATGTCACTTTTGAAGACCAGCAGAAGATCAATAAATTTGCCAGGAACACGAGCCGGGTGACGGAACTCAAAAGTGAAATCGAGACAAAGAAAGTAAGCACCGTGTGTAAAATAATGGGAAAATATGAAAGAACTATTAATAATGGCAAAACTGTTACTATAATTTAAATCTTGTTTAACTGCAGAACTGAAGAAAACTAAATAACCAGTTTGACACACACACACACACACGCACACACACACACACACACACACGCACACACACACACACACACACACAGTGTCAGTGCTCAAATGTGCCTAAGTCTGCTCCTGAGTGTGTGTGGATTCTGTTCTTACCTAAGAACAAAACACTGATGAATGCCTGAAAACCTCATAAGTGGTTTTTAAGAACGACTGGTGACTGGCCCATTGAAACGTTTCAGTCTTTTCAGGTATTGTGGGTAAGTGTGGTGTGAAGAGCAGTGCACATGCTGAATTACTAATACTAGCTAGTTAACAGCTCTCACTGAGACGCTGTAATGATCTGCCAATGTTTCCATGCAGAAGTCACTGCAAAACCTACAGGATGCCAGCGATGAACTAATGATGTTAGACGACGACTCTCTGCTGATCCCTTATCAGATTGGTGACGTCTTTATCGGCCACACCCAGGAGGAAACGCAAGAGATGCTGGATGCTGCAAAGGTCAGTACAAGACCCTCATTAGGACATCAAGGTAAAGAACAGTGGGGGAGAATTCAATAAGAGACAGAGAAACCGGTTTGCATAACTGATTAGAAAATGACTGAAGTGCATCATTTAAAAATGACAATACAGGAAAAAACTAAAATCAGCTCACTTTCATTTTTTATTATTGAGAGAACTCTTATTCTCCTTGTTTACCAAAACAAAGTGTCAGATCCTTGTGCTCGTCCTGTTTGTTTTCAGACCAGGTAGAAGTACTTACATTTGAGTACCTGCCAAAACAGAGTACCAATATAAATACTGAATCCTAATGCAGTGTTTCTACTATAAAAATGACAATTACCATACAAGTGCAGTGACTTTAGAGACTTTTAATTTTCATGAGATTTGCCTTCTGATTGTGATTAAATAAAATGTACAACAAGAGGCTGTGCTAATTCACTTTCTGTGGCCTCTGCTCCAGTTAGATTAATAGGTAACTGAATGTCGGTAGCCTACTACTCAACGTACTGTGATGTGGTGGTTTTTAACCTCTTTAGGAGTGCAACCCTCTTTTAGGATGGAAAGAAGTGATGACAGTATTTCCCCAACCCGCTGAAATTTCTTCTCCTTTTGTCACCTAACTACCTGCTCAACCAGCATGAGGTTAATGTAATGTTTCCGTTAAGTGGTGTCGGTGTGTAGTTTTATAAGTACAAGTGCTAGAGGGTGGTTTTAGCCCCATTACCTGGTGCTGACATTGGTGCTTCCCTATTTAGAAGCCTTTTAGATAAGTGTCAGTTGTACTGATTAAAAATATCAAGACGTTTGTGAGATTAGAGGAATAGTTCAACATTTGGCAACCTACTGGCGATGACACGAAGGCTCCAGACACGAGAGCGTTGGCAGTCTTCTCATTTGAGATTCGTACAGAACATAGGTACGGTGAGATACAGGCCAAAGCAGTTCATCAGCACAAGGAGGTGTGAGCAGGCATAAACACTGCTCCCCCAGGCTGGTTTAGGCTCAGGCGTCTGTGTCAGAGGACGTTTACTGGCCATAGCTGGCCAGTGTTGATGCTCCATAGATACTTAACCATAGAGAGGGCAGGCAGCGATCAGGTGGAGTTTCAGATGAGACCTTGTCCTCCCTCCTATCACTTCAGGATGTCCCAGTGTCATCGTCATCTTCTTCATCACACAACAGAGGAGGCCTGTACTGGTTGACGTCGAGTAGTCTGCTACACACATCGACCGATATGTTGAAAGCTGCTCACTAATTACATCTGCTGATTATAATCTAGTGCTCATATACGGCACATAGGCATTGAAGCCACTCTGCCTAATGTCTTTTCAGTAGCTGGTCTAGTGAGACTCAAAACAAAGTGACGCCGTAAGCTGCTCTTCACAGCAAACCTCAGTGCAATACCGTGTAAATATATGTTTGTATATATATCTGTCTGAAAACTTCCATCTAAACTGTTGTATATTTATAAATGCTTACATTTTTTCCTAATGCACATTCCTTTCTTGTTTGCACATTTTTTTTTCTTGTTCTCTGTCTTGTTCACCTGATGCCTATGAAAGAACACTGTACATACACACTGAGAGCCACTGTACCAGTCAAATTTCTCATGTGTACAACGCACCTGGCCAATACTGCTGAGTCTGAAAGTGCAGCCTCCAGTCTGAAGCTAGCGTTAGCTGGCTAGTTAATGTGTCAGTCCAGTAGATCGCTCTTGTTACTGCTAATGTGACACAAAACTCAAGTTACTCTGAAATTAAAATCCTAATAATAATTCCACCATAACTAGCTGTTTGAAGTGCAATACTTTATATAACTTTGGCTAGGTGGAAGGCAGGGCTGGTTTACAGACCGTGTTTAGACAACACAGTGAATAACGAGAAGCCCTGTAGCAGAGTTGTTGCCTTTCTGTAGGTTTACTGTCATGTAATTGGACGTTCCATATTGTGTGATTAGGACGCACTGCAGCAGGAGGTCAAAGGCCTGGAGGATCAAGTGTCAGCGATACAGCAAGTGTTGGGGGATCTGAAGGTCCAGCTCTATGCCAAGTTTGGTAACAACATTAACCTGGAGGCAGATGAAAGCTGAGCAGTTAAACGGACATTGACGGCTGCCCAGACGTGGACTTTGTCCTCACAGCTCTCATAACACGTCGGCAGAACTTCACCAACCAAAGCATCTACTGTACACAAACAGCTTAGGTTTGTAGCTTCTGGCATTTGTTTACATCAATAGTGTAACCTATTTTAATCTGCCCCTTATTTAATGTTCATGTTTCCTTTTACCCTGTTGCTCAAGCTGCAGTAAAAAGAAGAGAAACAACTTGCTGCATGTTTGACTTCTCTAAAGGCTGGATGAAATTAGCACAGCTGAGCTCTCTGCTCAACCTTATTAGCAGTTATATCAGTTAAGCCTTCAAACTAACACAAAGTTGATTAAATCAGTGCCCTCTGTCATTGAGCTGTCTTTTTTTTATAAGAAACAACAGAAAAATGAGAGGCTACAAATATATACGTGTGAGAAATGTAGTCACAAACTGAGCTAGCATACATTCACATCTCTGTAAATAAGTTCTCTTTGTAATCTGTCAACACAGTGTTTGATTAGACAATTTATCAGATGAATGACTAGAAACCTAGCTCTGAAATCCACTGAGATGTCTGAGACTGAATTAAAGGTGTCATCATTCTACACTACACTACACAGAGTTTGCCATTTGTGCAGTTGTAGATGATATGAAGACTTGATTGTGGTGGGAAATTTTTCTAGAGGGATAACAGTCAGCACACTTCTTTTGAAATCTGTGCACCACAGTGGCCACAAGTGTCTCATAGAAACCAGAGAGCCTGAGACAGAGGAGTCCTCCTGTTCCTTATGAAACAAAGCTTGAATTCCAACTACCAACTCTGCATTTGTTTTAATCTGCTCAGAATACAGACGAAACACTTGGAGGTAAGATTACATTAACAGATTTTACCAGTGGTGGAAGGAGTATTTACATCCTTTATTTAAAGATAATACAAAATACTTCATTACTGTAGGTTTGCATTTAAAACCTGTTTCACCAAAAGTGTAGAGATATAATGTTCTGCAGGACTGTCTCTCAGCAGGGATATTATTATATACAGTATTTCATCAATGGATTATTGGTGTTGATACGTCAGTGTGAGGTGGAACTGGCAGGTAACTTGGTGGTTCCCAACCTAGGGATCGGACCCCAGCAAAGGGTCTCCGTAAATTAGCAGAGACATGAGATCTTTAATAGAAGAGCGG